ACCATTTTACAACTAATAAAATACTCGTATTGAGCTCAATCACTGTTTTAACATAAATAGCTTCAGGCAAATAAGCTAGTTGACGCAAAACAAGTGTTAATTCAAACAAATGTGTGAAATCCTTAGGCTCGTTTTCAATAACAAACTTTAATAGCATGACAAATCTTTGACGAAAAGAAAGAAAGCCAGGAAATGATATTTACATGAAACTAGGACGAAAAAGAAAAGTTCCGGAATTAGGACGATTAATTTTAATTATCGCGGGAAAAGGGACCGCTTTAAAAGGAATTAGAAGGAATTATTGTATCGGGTCCCGGTTGTTAAGCTCAGCTTAACAAGATCCTAAGGAGGGGGTCTTTTACTTTAGGGGTGGGAACTTGCGTTCATTTACAAAATCCTAGGATAGGGGTCCTCCAAAAATTAAGGACCCCTTTCCTAGGGTTTTGCTTTAAGTGAGGACCTCCCCCCCTTAAGAAGGACCCCCCTTAGGATCCGGGACACGATACAATACTACTATTTACACTGAAAGAATTACGATTCAAAAACAACACGTAGTGTAGAGAAGAGTGCGATTCCTCCCGAGAAAAATGAATTTCAGTTCTCAAACAATAGTGGTTATTGAACTCAAATTGAAAGAAAACTTGTCACTTTTCTACAACCAGCTACATACACATTTTTTTAAAATGAGAAAAAAAATCATAGAAGCGGCGAACTTTTCGCCAATCGTTTTTATCCGAAAAAAAGTGTTGAAGAGTTTATCAGGTGCTTGATTACTGGACTTAGTTTAATATTAACAACCTTAACAAAAAGCTGTTTTATCTCCCATTTTTTGGAATCTTCGATGCATTTTTGAAAAACAAGGAATTTAGTTATTTTATGAGTCATAAATATTAACTAGAAAAGATTTTTTTTGCTTTGGATTAAACATTAGTTTTAAAAAGTTTTTTTAGCAAATACCTACAATCACATCAAATTAAAACTGAGATTAAAAACCAAAACATTACATTCAAGTGGCCTTAAATTATTTTTAAAAAAATAGCTAAATAAAAACAACAAAAAAAAATTTGATTTGTTTTCTGCTCTTAATCCCTCATTTTTTGGGAGAGCATTTCGACAAAATTAAGGAAAAAATTTTTGTTTATCCATGAAAAATCAACCAACATACAAAAGACGAGGTGAAATAAGTGCTCGTTGCAACAGTGAATATCAAAGTTTCAATTATCATTAATAACTACAACCATTAAAAACAAAAATTGAAATGCAAACTTGTAAACAATCATAATTAACTATAAATATCAATATACCTGTTGAAGATTAGCAAAAACATTTAGTAGAAATATAAAAAGTATAAACGCCGAAAACTGTAGTTCAAAAATTGAGTTTTCCAAACTTTATTATAGATAAAACATTGTTGCTGATGACAGAAAATAAACTTTTAATGTACAAAAATTCTGGATTTCATGTCTGAAATAAGATATCAGCAGGCAATTGTTTGAATAAAAAAGTTTCAAAAACGTTGAATTTGATTTTTGTCAAAATTTTAAAACTGAAAGCAAATAGAACTTCATTGGTCAAAAGGATCAAAATCATAATCAATTATTTTTGATTCAATTGAAAAAAAAACACTTATTGCTGCCGAAAATTTTTTTCAAGAGAACAAAAAGTTATTCAAAAGTAACACGTTTGTTTTCCAAAACTATTTCCTCTTAGAAAAAGATTGTTGCAAGTTAATTGATGCACTTAAAATCAAAAGGGTAATTATTTCTCTTTTTCCAGTGTTTTGCAGTAAACATCAGTCAAATTAGGATATTTTGCAAAAATAATGCTGTAATGATCTTAAATAACTTCCTTAGAACTAAAATCTGTCAGGAAAGTCAACAATTTATACCTTCCTGTTTCATTTTGTGCATGGAAGATTTTGTATTTTCCGGCAACTCATTTGTAATTTGCTATAAAAACCGTATTTCTGATTTTATTAAGACACCTCGGTCAATCGTAGATTTGATTTTTTACAAATTACGAAACGGATGGCAAAAATGTGTTTTCAGAATGTAAGTTTTCTTAACTTTACGCATAAACTAAAAAACAATTCAAAAGAATGCTTACATATCGTCATGTTTTTGTCAGTCATCCAGAATTATAACAACTTCAATGCGATTGTTTGCTTGTCACTTTTTTGAACAATTGAAAAAACCTTTAAAGAGCAAACGCATAGATATCAAAAAAATTTCTGATAAACATTCCAATTCAGAACAACAGTTTTCATTTTTTTGGTGATTGTTTCAAAATTTGTGAATCATTTGGACTTAAGTTTCCAGTTTGTACAGATATCCTAGTTTTGTTAGCATACTTTAATTAATTTCCATAAATGTGAGACTTTTAAGTCGAATGACTGTAGATATTAGCAGTTTTATTTTTGTTTTGCAACTCAGGCAAAATTTTTTAAATTTCACAGTTGTAGAAGTTGACAGTAATCCTAAGGGGAGGGGTTGGCTAGCGTGACCCCATCTTTTAAGCTGCCCTACAGATTTCAGGTCGCCTTAGCTATGTCTTTAGATAGGGTACAGTCTGTATGGTCTTAGTAAAACTTTTTAGAAAGTGGTAAGACTTTCCAATGTTTTTTGTGGAGCGCGATATTTTTTTATTAGCGTTAAAAGGAATAGAAGTATTCATACAGTGGCGTAAGCAAATATATGGAACTACTCAGCCAGTGGATAAATTTCTGAAAAATTATAAGCCTTGCAAAATGAAGCATGAAGGACGTAGCTTGATAGTTATTGTCTGCTGAATATAGCAGGTGCAAAGTTCCTGGCTGGCGTGATTGGGGCTACCCTGTGCAGGAACCGCTCTCCAGTACACTCTGTTACAGTGGATGAAAAAAGCCAGCGAGTCATGCAAAATCAGCGCCGTTCTCCGCGACTAAAAGCCTGGGACCTGCAAGAGGCAGAGCTGTTATATGAATTGCTCTTAAAGATATTTGCTGTCATTCCAGAACTGAACAAAATTGAACTGGATATGTGAGAAGTTTATCGAATACGGAAACTTCAGCGTTCTACGAAAAAAGAAAAAAAGTAAAAAGTACAATGCGTTTGACGACTTTGATGAAACCCCTTGAATGATGATGGAAGCAGATTCACTGCTAGAAACGTCGGTTTCCCGATTTTGGAGAGACATTATGCTAACTCAAGGGAGTACCGATGTCATGTCTGCAGCTGAGATGGTGGCATCTGGTAACCTGAACGAATGAATCTGCTACTCACCTTGAGTTACCAGATGACTCTCAAAGTTTAAAAACCATAATTGTTGGAGAAATGATGGCAGTCGAATGTCTGGAAGCTCCTCTGAACGAGATATGGAAGCAAACAGCGCCCACGAAAGATCAACTGGATATTTTCAATTTCTCTAAGAATCCGGATCTGTTTAAAACGAATGCAAAATGATGAGCATTTTGAAACAGATGCAAAAGATTGGCGAGAAAGCATTACGGCATAGCTTCAGAGCCAACATGTGTGTCTGAAGATGCGAATATGCCAAGTAGTATACGTCAAGAGAAAATCGGTTGTATACCGCCTTCCAATTGGTCATTGGCTCAGAGGTTTTCAAAACAGTCCTTGTAATTCATAGCAAGGTAGTGATGATAACAGTGACAATAGGAAGATAACAGTGGTCACAGATTGAACAAAGAACATGTACTGTGAGAAGAAGTGGACGTAAATTCTTTAAAAAAATCGTTTGCATGTTTTGAAATTCTCCTCATTTTGCGTATCGTTTCCAACAGATTCAGATTCTTAGAGCAATCTAAAATATCCAGTTGTTCTTTCGTGGGCGCTGTTTGCTTCCATTTCCAGTTCAGAAGAGCTTCCAGACATCTGACTGCCATCATCTCAACAATATTTAGGGTCTTTACACTATGTGAACCATCTGGTACCCATGAAAATCAGCTCTCCAGCGTCCCAGATAAGTAGTGCAACTTACTAAATGGAGTTACGCTAGCCAACCTCCCTTAAGGTTACTGTCAATTACATGTTACTACAATTATGAAAATTAAAAGATTTGCCTGAGTTGCAAATAAAACTAAACTGTTTATCTCGACTGTGCTTTGCTATAAAAGTCTCACAATTGGGTCAACTTAGGAAAAATAAATAAAATATGCTAACAAAACTTGGATATCTTTACAGACTGGAAACTGCTACGACAAATGACATAGATCTTCATTAAAGCAGGTTGCTTATCTGAACAAAAATCAGTAAAACATGTCCAAATATTTCAAAATTTTGCAAAAATCATCAAAACGTTGAGAACTGATTGTTGTGAAGTGGAAAATTAATCGGATTTTTTTTGCGTTTGCTTTTTAAAGTGCTTGTGTTTTTCAAAAACTAGTGGAAATCAACCAATCGGATTGAACTTGTTATAGTTTTGCATGACTGGCAAAAAAAACCATGTTGAAGTGTAGGATTTTTTGGATTTTTTTTTTTCAAATTATGCGTAGAATTTCATAGTTAAACTGCTCAAACACTGTTCAAATCTTTCGCGGTTTTCGAGCGGTTTTTCTAGATAAATCGCTCAAAAACCGTTCGAATCTTGCGTGGTTTTCGAGCGGTTTTTATAGATAAACCGCTCAAACCGCTTATTATGAAGCAAGATTTCGAGCGCGATCATTTAAAAAAACCGCTCAAATCTTGCTTCAATTTAAGTGAAAAAACTCGACTTGGGTTGACCATCATGAAGTGTTTTACTTATAAAAAAATCGAAAGATTGAAATTTTGAAAAGCAACTCTTGGCTATGTTCGAAATATCAATATTTAATGAGTTGTTTTGGTATCTTTCTACTAACTACTTGAAGGAAACGTTTTTAAACTTCTTTCTAAAGCTATATCAATAATTTCAAAATATTTAGGATTTCATTTTTTCCATCGGCGTAACTTTTTGAAATACAATTCTATGAAGGTTTCAACTAAAAACTAGTTTCCAATTTTCAAAATGTGTTTTTTTTTTTTCAGAACACTTTCAACCCTTCCTTCTAATGCTTCGTAAGTAACATGCTTTTCAATTTCACTGCGACTTAACTATCTGTTGAATAAAAACTAGGTACTTACAAAAACCACCCTCAGGAAGAGCGTGGATTTCTTTTTTGAACTTCTTTCATACTTTGTTGTGAGGTGAATCAATTGTTCTCTTCAGTTCTCTTTTTAGTTTCCGTTTAGATTTTTCCCGTTTGCTTGTAGTCTCAACGTTTCTCGTGTGTTCGTCAGAACTAACATATCGGTTCCAACCGGCTTTTGCCTAGCCTGCTAGTGTTCTCGAGCAATCAGCGTTATTTTTAGAGCAGTCCTGCACCTTCAAAATTGGTTCTGTCCGGCTATTCCCTCTTGATAGCCGTTTCTAGCTTTTTTCGTTTTTTACTCAAAGCAAACATTTCTGTTCAAAGAATGTTCTGTTCAGCTTTTTTTCCTGCTTGCTACATCTCTCTACCACTCAGTGTCTAATCGATAGAGCAAGCATGCCTCTCCAAATTTGGTTCTGTCCAGCACTTTTCCCTTTATGTTTATCTATGTTTGTGTTTCTATGTATATGTAACTTGGTATATGTATCTATGCATAAATATCTACGTGTATGTATCTATAAAACGTATCAGTATATATGTATCTATGTATGGGTATCGTTATGTTTGGATCTGTGTATAGGTTTATATGTATATTAAAAATAGAAATTTTTTATCAATGCTTATATATCAATGTAAGAGATTAATTATAAATATCTCTATCTGAAGTTATCTTGTATATCTATCTATATAATACTTAAGTACAGCTAGTTTATGTATCTACCTCTAAATGTATCTATATATATCTCTATCTTTGGATATGTATCTACGCTTATGCATTT